AGGGAGAAGTAAAGACTTTCCAGCTGGGGACCAGCAGTTAGTATAATGGTTATGTCGCTGAACTCCCATGTAGCTGACCGCAGTTCGAGTCCCGGACCCAGTGGCTTAGACTCATGCCGGGCGCGTGTGTGTGCGTGCCCAAGATCCTGAGAGGAGAATGGAGGAGAAGGGATTGCAGCATGGCCATCCCCCCTGGGGGATGATTTCTTGCTTTCTGTCTCTCTGTCACTCCCTGTCTTTCTGGCGAGCACACGCGCCCTATAGCAAAAACCTAAAAAAAGGGAAAAAAAGAGGGACCGACAGTTAGCATAATGGCTATGTCACTGGACTCCCATGTAGTTGACTGTGGTTCGAGTCCTGGACCCGGTGGCTTAAACTCACGCTGGGTGCGTGTGCGTGCGTGCCCAAGATCCTGAGAGGAGAATGGAGGAGAAGGGATTGCAGCATGGCCATCCCCCCTGGGGGATGATTTCTTGCTTTCTATCTCTCTGTCTCTGTCTTTCTGGTGAGCGCACGCGCCCTATAGCGAAAACCTCTCCAAAAAAAAGAAAAAGAAAAAAAAAGAAAAGAAACTGCAGAGGTTAACCCTGAGTTAGGACCCAACACAGACTGGAGTGTCTCTCCGGAAAAACAAGTAATTTTGCAGAAGAAAGAATGAACATTAAGCTTCTTCTTATTTTTTTTTAAGCTATAGTAAGATCCTCTGTCCCACAAAAGACAAAGGGAGTGAAAAGTGAGAAAACCTCACTGTGAAAAGCAGCAAATATTTAAATCCAAAACTTCAGAAGAATTCACGGAAGTCAGTTCCTGAAAGCAAAGAAGTGAAATAGCTCATTACGACTTACATTGTCAGGCAGAAGGCAAGGAGAGTTCATCTATAGAGAACCAGCTCCATCTAGCAGTATTAATCATTGAAAGCTTTGCATCTATTCTGGCCTAACAATATATATAGAAAAGGTCTTTACAGGGCCAAAGAAAATCCTGTTTTCAAAGTATCACCCTTTGCCTATTTCCAACAAGCTTCAGTATGAGTGTGTACCTTGAGTCCCTCTTTATGGAAGTTCTGCAAAGCCCTCTGGGACACATAAGATACCTACACAGCAAAGGTGTGTGTGTCTAAGTGTCCATGCTGCCCTACTATATGTTATGTGGCATATAAATAGCATCTATAGATGAGAAGGCTTATCAGTAAACGGGCTTGAAGCTCTTCTAGAATTTGTGCTCAGCAGAGTAGTAGAGGCCTTCCTTCAAAGACTACATTCTACAGGGGAAAGATAGGGTAGCTTCATGAAGATTAGTGGTATAACTTTGAGTATGACCCTAAGTTCTTGATACTGGGGCCAGGACTCCTTTCACTGGACTACTTTGTTTGTCTCTCAGGTGAGGCCCACAAATCCAATCAGTTTGACCATCTTTATGTAACTGGCTGATCAAATTAGTGACCATTAATTTATCTAATTCTTTTCTTACCCAAATGATCAGTTGTTTGTATTGGCCAGTAAATGAGTCTGAATGATCTGGTTGTTCAAATATGTACCTAAATATAGTTGGGCACTGACGGCTTTGTGACTTAGAATTGTGAGAGTCACCTATTACAGTTAAGTGCTCCATCAAAGAGCAATAGATTAAGAATATATCTAAGTGGAACATCCAAACAATGAAATACTATTAAGCAATAAAAAAAGTGAGCTATCAAGCCTGAAAAGACTTGAAGAAACCTGAAATTAATATTGCTAAAAGAAAAAAATAGAGTCTGAAAGGTTACATATTGCATGGTTCCACTTACATGCCATTCTGAAAATGCAAGTATGGAGATAGAAAGAAAAGGAAAAAAATAATGGTTGCCAGGAATTCCAGGGAAGGCGAGGAATAACAAAGGGGTGCTTCACAGGAGATACATAGGGCAGTGAAACTCTTCTATGATGGCGGTTACATGACATTAGGCATCTTTTAAAAATTCATAGTACTGTACAACAAAAAGAGTGAACAAATCCATAGTGCTGTACAACAAAAAGAGTGAGCCCTAATGTAAACTATGGATTTAGTTCATCACAATGTATCAATATTGGTTTACCAACTGTAATAGATATATCAAATCAATGCAAGATAATAGGGAAAACTGAAGAGTATATGGGAATCCTCTGTACTTTATGCTGAATTTTTCTGGAAATGGGTTATTATCTGGTGAAGATAACAGGTATAGTATTCTCAACTGGACTTGTGAGAAATGTATACATGTTGGAATATTCACTTTGCAAGCTAAGTGACATATGTGATTGAATGTATAAAATACGTTGAAACAAAAAATATATAAATATATAAAAATTACTTTTGCTGCATTACTAAAAAAAGGAGGAGCAGCGTTGGTGTACACATATAGAAGCAATATAAAGCTGGAAACCTTACATTATGTAACAGAGACAAATAAAATGGTAGATTATGAAACTTTGGCTAAAAGTACACATCTAAATGAACATGACTGATTTGGTTACATATCTAAGTACTTAGAAATATCCATATCCAGTACAGGCATCATTCGGTCATGATCTTCTGTCATATACTGTATATATCTAAACAATAGCTCCAGAGTCATATGAAAATGAAAAAAATATAAATTACAAGTTCACAGTATAGTTACCATTCTATGGATCAAGACACTTCAAAATGTTCACTTTAAGTCTAGACCAACTGCATTAATGTTTATGATTTTCCCACTTAAGGCCAAGAATGTAGTAAACACCAAGTGGAATTATAGGCTCATTGTTCTCCATCCTAGATTTTGTGCTAAGTCCTTGAATGTCTAGGACATGCAGCAAACAAGTAGATAAGGCAAAAACATACAAAAATCTAGTAAACAAACATCACTAGGTCTACCTTATATGCACAATGAACAATTACGTAACATAGCACTTGGGCTAAATTTGACCTACAGATAGGAAGTTCAAGGTACATCAGCATAAATATTATTTGCTTTGGCCTTTGTTGAGTTAGATCCCTGGAAGTGGGACCCCTTTCAGGTTGTTCAAGAGATCTCTTAGAACTCATTTTTTTAAGGGGGAGAAGATGTGCTATCATACAGATGTCAATTTTTCCCAAATTAATCCATAAATTCATTTCAATTTCAACAAAATCCCAAAATACTTTTTACATCAGTCTTGACAAGCTGATAATAAAGTTTAGATGAAAGAGCAAAGGGACAAAGATACAAAAATCTTGTGATGAAGAATGAAAGAATGAGAGGCTCATGATAACAGATTGCAATATTTCTTGTAAGTTCATAGCAGTGAAACTGTGTGGTTTTAGCATAGGTATAAAAAGGAAGGAGACCAATGAAACAGAACAGAAAGCTCAGAAACTGACCCACAGATACAGGGAAATAATACACGACATAGTAGAAAGGCAAAGAGACAGGAAAAGGATGGACTAGTCAATAAATGATGCTTAGCACATAGTAGAACATAGTAGAAAGGCAAAGAGACAGGAAAAGGATGGACTAGTCAATAAATGATGCTTAGAACATGGCCCAATCATGTGAAAAAGTAAATCCCTGAACAAAAATAAGCTCCAGTTGGATTATAAAACAAAACATACAAGCAAATAAAAAGATTAAAAGAATATATAAGAGACTATATTTATTATTTGTAGGATTACTTAAAAGAAAAAACAGAGGCTGGCAGGTGGCATGGTTCTTAAGGGTGCTGGACTCCCACATGACTGACTGTGGTTTGAGTCCCGGATCTGGCAGCTTGCATTCTCACTTTCCCTCTCTCTTTCTCTCTCTCTCTCTGTCCCTCTCTGGTCAAATTAAAATGGATGAATAAATAAAGTGAAATTTTAAAAATTCTTTAAAATAAAAAGCTATATTTAAAAAATTACTTTTTAAAAGATTTATTTAGTTTTATTTATTATTATTATTATTTAAAATTTTGCTATAGGGTACGTGTGTTCATGAAAGAGAGAGAGGAGGAGAGAGAAAAAGTGAGAAAGCAAGCCACCAGGTCCGGAACTCGAACCATGGTTGACCATGTGGGAGTCCAGTGCCTCAACCACCACACCACCTACTTGCCCCTAATGTTTGACTTTTAATTAAACCATGTTTACAATAAAAATAACATGAACTTCAAAGATAGTTATAGACCAGGAAAAGATATATTCAACATATATAACTGTAAAACATACATTTATAATATTTTAAAACTACTTCAAATTGAAATAATAAAATATCTCAATTAAAATGGACAAATACATAAACAGGTACTGCATAGAGAATGAAACCAGAAATGCTGTTAAATATAGCAAAGTTAGTCAACTCCCTGGTAAAGAAGGAAATAAAAACAAAGCTAGAAGATACATTTTATGCCCCTCTACTTAGCTAAATATTTAAGTCTAACAGTATCATATTGCTGATGACCTGAACATGCAGTCCTTCTGGAAGCATAAACTGGCATTTTAGAGACCAACTTGACAACTGGAGGCTTAGCTTATCTTAGATATTTCTTTTCTTCTTCTTTTTTGAAGAATTATTTAATTTAATTTAATTTATTATTATTATTGTTTTAAAATTTGCTATAGGGTTAGGGCCAGCAGTTGACATAATGACTTTGCTGCTAGACTCCCATGTAGTTGACCACGGTTCAAGACTCAGACCTGGTGGCTTAAACTCACGCCGGGCGTATGTGTGTGCATGCCTAAGATCCCAAAAGGAGAATGGAGGAGAAGGGATTGCGGCATGGCCATCCCTCCTGGGGGGTGATTTCTTGCTTTCTGTCTCTCTGTCTTTCTGGCGAGTGCACACACCCTATAGCAAAAACCTCTCCAAAAAAGAATTTTTGCTATCGGGCACATACACTCATCAGAGAGAGACAGGGAGAGTAGTAATAGGTTAGAGCTGTAGGATGTTTATCAAAACTATAGGATTTTGTCTTCTATTTGTGAATTTAATGACATGATATCTCCTAGTCAACTATGGGATTTTAGTAGATGAAGAAACTGATCTTATGTACCAGCATCACCAATAACTAAACACAACCGGGATGATGAAAAGGTACAGGAAATAGCAAAGAAAATTTTTCTTTCCTATTTAAGCCTAATGGTGAATTCAAAGAATGACCTGGCTCTGGCTCATATTCCCAATATTCCTGATAGAGGAGTTGGGAAAGAAACCTTCACGGTTTTGAAACACACTGCTCGAGAGAAACAGACGTCTATCTTTTTGGTGGCTGCATCATTTATTAGAACAATTGAGCTTGGAGGGAAAGGATATACACCATCACCATGTGATCCGTTAAGGGCACATATAAAGGGACTGTCTAATTGTATTAATGTCATTGATGAATTAGATGAGACTCTTGGAGAAATACCAAATCCAAGCATTGCAGGGGGTCGGATACTGTCAGTGATAAAGATGCAGCTAATTAAAGGCCAGAACAACAGGGATCCTTTTTATAAAGCAGTAGAGGAAGTTGCTTAAGATTTGGATTTGAGGATTAAAAATCTCATCAGTTATCAAAAAGGAGAGGTAGCCATTAGGACCACTGAGATCAGTCCTGCACTGCCAAAATCTTATACCATAAACCATGGTACTGCATACTGTGGCAGAGATACTGTGAAAATGCTACTTCATCTTTTGGATGAAGCAGCAGCCAGTGTTCCTACCAAAAACAAAGCAGAGCTTTTATATGATGATGAAAACACAATTCAAAATGGCACTTCTATTCTTATACCTTTTAGATCTCCCACACAAACCCTAAGACAACACATCCATAACTCAATGCAAGAGAAAAAACTTAAGATGAAGCAAACTTTAATTGGATCCCAGTTTGCTTATACTTATAAAGATGATATCATGATAGGGGCCAGCAGGTGGTGTCATGGTTGGAGGCACTAGACTCCCACATGGCCAACCGCGGTTCAAGTACCAGATCTGGCAACTTGCTTTCTCACTCCCTCCCCCCTCTCTGTTCCTCTCTGGTCAAACTAAATAAGTTAAATTAAAGAAATTCTTTTTTTAAAAGATGATGTCATGATAAGCAAAGATATATTGGAAAATGTTAATTCAGCATCAAAGCCTTTGCACGTCCTTCATGTGGAAAAAGACCTTTCTGAAGATGTAAATTCATCTGTTGGAAGATCAACAGTTGGAACAAGTTCTGGAAATGCTTGTCTGGACAGATGTAAAAATAAAAAAGCATCAAGAAAACCAAGTTGTCAGACAGGAGATAAAAGCTTAAAAAGGGAGACCAGCAGGGTACCAGCAGTTAGCGCAATGGCTATATTGTTGGACTCCCATGTAGTCAACCGCAGTTCAAGTCCTGGACCTAGTGGCTTAAACTCATGCCGGGGGCGTGTGTGTGCATGCCCAAGACCAGAAAGGAGAATGGGAAGAAGGAATTGCAGCATGGCCATCTCCCCTGGGGGTGGGGGGTGATTTATTGCTTTCTGTCTCTGTCTTTCTTTCTGAGTCTTTCTGGAGAGTGCATGTGCCCTATAGCAAAACCCTCTCCAACCAAAAAGTAAATAAAGAAAAAAATAAAAAGATAAAGGGAGACCAGCAGATGGTGTAATGGCTATGTAGCTGGACTCCCATGTAGTCAACTGTGGTACAAGTCCCAGACAGTCCCAGACCCAGCAGCTTAAACTCATGTCAGGTGTGTGTGCATGTGTGCCCAAGATCCTGAGAGAAGAATGGAAGAAAAGGGATTGCAGTGTGGCCATCCCCCCTAGGAGAGGGGTGGTGATTTCTTCCTTTCTGTCTCTCTGCCTCTCTGTCTCTATGGCAAGCACACGTGCTCTATAGCAAAAGTCTCTCTATTAAAATTAAAAAAAAAAAAACAGTTGAAAAAGGAATCAGGTGGATTTGAATGGAGCATACATATTCTCTGTGATAATGGAAATGAACTGCCTCTACATAACAATGTTAAGACACCTAAAACACCAAACAATTCACAGAATATGTCAGATGGTAAACTAGCTAGAGTAGCAAAAGGCAGTAAGTATACCATCAAGGACAAAATGGACTCCTGCCAAAGTTAACTCCATTTTTTAAACTATAAATTTGTCTTTTATGTGCTTTAGAGTATATATAAACACATTCACCAAAAGTATATACTTAGTTTTTAAGAGATTGAGGTATAAATAAATTACCATGCTTTATTATTTTAGTCTGGAGTGCATGAAAGGTTAGTATGTTAAGCCTTGTTCAGAAATACTAGTCGGTCATAGTTATGCAAATTTTCACAAACTTTAATGCATAGAAAGAACATTTCACTTAGGCTATTAATATATTTTAACATTACTTTTGAAAAAAATACAGGCATTTAAAATAAGACACAAATTGCAGTAAAATTAGGGGCTTTTTCCTCCCACTGGCAGTTAAATTATTTTGTTTTCTTTTGAAAAGATGATGTGACCCAACAGGTATCAGACTTGCCAACAAGATTGGTAGACTCTTCCCAGCATACACCTGAGCACTGAAGGAAAAAACAACTTTAAATTGTGCAAAGGACTATAATTATCACATAAAAATTATTAAGAAAAAAGAAGTCGATCTAGTGTAACTAATTCTGAGTAAATCAAAATCTCAATAATAAATTAAATGCTTCTTAATCCTGCATTTTTGTCAGGGGTTAATTAATATCAATCACCATTAAACATTTTTTAAGTTAAAAAAATTTAATGTTTTCATTTTACATATTTGAAGCTTTGTTATTAGATACATAGAATTTTAGGACTGTTATATCCTCTCAATTAACTGACCTACTTATTAACTATTCCTCTTTTTCACTAGTAACATTTCTTATACTAAAACTACTTTGCCTGATGCTAATATAGCTACTTCAACTTCCTTTTCATTAGAGTTTGCTTGCAATATCTTTTCCCAGCCTCTTTCTTTTAAGCTATATATGTATTTATGTCTAAAGTGAATTTCTTATAGAACGCACATAGTTGGGTCTTACTTTTTAAAATAAAAATTGGCAATTTTATCTTTTACTTAGAATAGTTATATCTTCATATTTAATTAAATTATTAATTTTATTTGGTCTAAATCTACAACGTTACTATATAATTTCTCTGTGTCCTATCTAGTCTTATTTCTTGTTTTCTCTTCTGCCTTTTTTTTTTTTAATTTGCTAGAGGGCACATGCACTCATGAGAGAGAGAGAGAGCAAGAAATCACTCCTCATAGGGCATAGTTGCACTGCAATCCATTCTCTTCCATCTCTCCCTCCTTTCAAGATTTTGGGCACAAAATCACATGCACCCACATATTTCTCAAGGTGCTGGGTCTGGGACTAGAACCTCACAGTCGGCCATGTGGAATACAGCTGCCTTAACCATCAGGCCATAGGCTGGACCCCTGCTCTTAAATAATTTTTTTTCATTCACGATAAAATGCATGCACATGCAAGAGAGAGAGAAAGAGGAGACAAGAGTTCCGGACACCAGGCGGACTGAGGCTGCAGACCCGACCCTTCCGAATCTTCACGCATCCCCACCGTTCCTCTTCCTTGGATCCCAGGTTGGCTGTCTGGGACTTTAAGGCGAACTCCCACCCCACCCCACCCGCAACCCGGATCGAGCTGGCCAGCAGTTCCAGACACCAGGTGGACTGAGGCTGCAGGCCAGACTAACCTGGTCCTGTCACTCATCCTCTGACCCTTTCCCACTAGCCTTTGGACTCTTTGAATTTTGGTGATTTGAATAGCATGAGGCATGCATTGCGCGCCACACGATTTCCTTATTTTGTTTTTGTTTTTTTTTTGCTCTTGAGATGTTGCTTATTAGGTCAGTTGGAGGCTCACCACTCCTTAGAAACAGGGAAGACTTTGGGCTATCCGGGGCTAGTGGCAAGAGTTAATGGTAATTGTAAGCAACAGGTAGGCCAACCATAAGAGAAATCATCAATTTTCTAATCCTATACAACTTTTTTTTTTTAGAGGTTTTTGCTATAGGGCGTGTGCACTCACCAGACAGACAGAGAGAGACAG